CATGGGATTATAAAATCCATTGACTTAGTGGAGATGGAAGATTATGAAGAAAACTTTTAAAATTGCAAAAGTTCTTCATAATGATTGCAGGCCACCTTCCACTGAACCATGGCTATAACATGTTCTTGGTTGATATGCTAATGTTTTGTGATCTTGTCTCCCCATTACAAGGAAACCCAATGAGCACTTGTTTTGTAATTGGTCACCTTATAATGGCAATAGTGCTCCCAAAGAAATTATCACATCACAACTTTATTTTATTTTACATATCATATCATATCTGATTGTCATTTTGCTCGTTATGTCCTTGGTGAATTCGTAAATTGAAATTGTAAAGCATTTTAAGAGTGTGTAGATAATTGTTTACAATGATCGAAATATCTATAAAAGGAACTCAGTTCTGATGCTAGATTAATTGGTCTATTTAAAAGTCTTGTAATTAGCCTACTTGTATGAGCTCCCAAAATATAAGAGCATTTAGTTAATATTCTTGAATCAACATGTCATCAGAGTCAATACACACTCTTTTACATGATACTCATATGTTCTTTGTTCGTATCGAGAACACGTGAGACATCATATTAAGCAAAAGGGCAAAACAGGAATTTCACGTGAATGTTACAGAAACACAAACTAGTTGGGGGAGATACATAGTGGAATAAGGGTGATTGTGGGAGGGTGAAGTGGGGTGTCCACAACTTCACTTATTAGTGGATTAACCGCACGCTTCTGACAGCCCATGGGCTTCGCCGGCCCCACCTTCGTCGGCAGCTGAGAGAGAGAGCACGCCTATATCTACTAATTTTAGACTAACATACTTTTTTTTTTTTTTTTTGTTATTATTATTTAGGTTGTAGTGTGGATATAAATATGGAAATGTCGACATCGCAATATATACACATGGTGCAAGTACATGTCACGGGGAATTTCGATAAGATTTTATTTATTCTTATTTTTTTTAAAATTCTATGTGATATTAATTTGATCTAATTTGAAAGTTATTAATTGAGCATAAAGTGAAACTTGTACAAATATTAAATACACTCGAGCTGCATTAGACCAGTTTTTGGGGATAGAAATACCAGGAACTTGATTAGCACTGTGAGGTGGTACAGCCCCTATCATATAAGATGCTTAAATAAGATGTGAACATTAAAAATTAATTGTAAAGATTAATTGGGTGTATTTCTTGGAGTTGGATTGCGGGTATAGTAAATGAAAATAAATTACAATTCTTTAGGGCCTTAGGCCATTGAATGGGAAAAAAAATAATAGGACGATCTTATATACACACGTGATAAGATTTATGATACAATTATAACATCTTAGACTTTGAACTACTCATGTCATTACTATCACTTACAACGGACGTATCCATATAAATTTGACTGCCAATACAACTATTAATGTGATTATTTCAACAATATTGAATCATGATATGCCTGCATCCGAAATGGTAAGAGAGAGAAATAAATGGGTGGTCAAATTCACTCGAATGTGGAGGTGTCTTAATTTGAGTAGGGCGAGGTTCAAGGTATTACGATTACAATGATTAATCCTACCACGTGTATCGAAGACTTTCTCAGCTCAATATTGACTATAAATTTAGCATCTATTTGGCCTTCATTAAAGCACTTTAATTTTTTTTTCAGCCACTTTTCAACCCCTTTTTTTGAGCCAAGTGGGGTCAATTCTGCTGCCTTCCTGATCATTTGCAGTAGGACTGGGCAAATCTCCCGAACCGAACCGAACCCGAACCGAATCGAACCGAACCCGACGGTTCTTGTCAAATTAAATACCCGAACGGGTATCTGAATTGAGAACCGACGGGTACGGTTCGATTCTCGGTTCTAGACCAAGAACCGAAGAATCGAATAAGAACCGAATATTTCTAATTTTTTTTTATATTGAGTAAATCAAATTATTTTAATTTTAATTTTTTCTAAACAAATTAACAAATTAACGATTTCTAAATTCAAATTTTTGGCCAAATAATTTGTTTCATTTCTAATTTTTTAATTTTTGACCCAATTACCCATTTTATTGTTTCATTTTTTAGCGAAGCAAGATCAAATCCACTAAATAACCCTAAACACCAACACTAAAGTGCATAACGTTGTCTTAACTCTCGCGTTCACTCTCGCAGCCTCGCTAATATTCCAAAACCTATACAATCATCGACCGACACTGTGACCTCCGATCGAAGCTGTGACCTTCACTTTGGCCTTCATTAAAGCACTTTAATTTTTTTTTTCAGCCACTTTTCAACCCCTTTTTTTGAGCCAAGTGGGGTCAATTCTGCTGCCTTCTTGATCATTTGCAGTGTACCACATTTTTTCAAGAGAATTGGTGGTACCAATGGACGAAACCACCCTCAAATATCAAAACTAGATGACCAATTGAGGGGAGTGGTTGAGAGGGCAAATTTGTCATTTAGTACTGTGATCAACAGTTACCTCCGTTTGAATTCTACTGCACTATCTGACTTTATGACACATGGGGTCCGCACTAGTTTGAGAAATTGACAAATAAAAAAAAAAGTTGAACCCCAACCTTAAGGGCTCCCACCGCCCCACCCCTAAAGCATCGTGAAGGAGGTAAATAACTGGATGTACCCCAACAGGTCAGAGAACCAAAAATTGACAAATAATGTGTTTTAATGGAGGCAAAATGGGGGCTTAGACTATGCAATACCCGAAAAGTTCGGTTTGGTTCGGTTCTCTTTAGAACCGAACCGAACCGATCCGTGCCCACCCCTAATTTGCAGTGTACCACATTTTTTCAAGAGAATTGGTGGTACCAATGGACGAAACCACCCTCAAATATCAAAACTAGATGACCAATTGAGGGGAGTGGTTGAGAGGGCAAATTTGTCATTTAGTACTGTGATCAACAGTTACCTCCGTTTGAATTCTACTGCACTATCTGACTTTATGACACATGGGGTCCGCACTAGTTTGAGAAATTGACAAATAAAAAAAAAAAGTTGAACCCCAACCTTAAGGGCTCCCATCGCCCCACCCCTAAAGCATCGTGAAGGAAGTAAATAGCTGGATGTACCCCAACAGGTCAGAGAACCAAAAATTGACAAATAATGTGTTTTAATGGAGGCAAAATGGGGGCTTAGACTATGCCAATATTAGAGTTTTCTAGGGCCCACGTGACCCTAATCAAGAAGAATAATTTTTATTATATTGACACATTAGTAATAGTCCTCAGCACCTCAAAGCCGTTGAATATCATTGAAGGGGGGACGAGGAGACTCATCACCTAATCTGAGAGATGAATAAATATAGGCTAATACATTAATTAAACTCGTTGTTGAAAGATTTTTAAGTATTTATATCTTGGGATTACCTATAATTTTAAAGGGAAAAACAAATTATCCCCTTTTTAATCAAACACGAAAATTTGAAATTTTCAAGCTAAAATTATTTTCAATTTTGAAAGTTACAACACTACACTCATGAACACAAAAATAGCGTGTACTATGACAAGATCTTTACAAATCGAAGGTCAAAGGTTAGATTGTCTCGAAAATCTGTCGGGGTATCAATCCGATGTTGGCGCAGCAAACTACGAATACAGAATGGCCTCATTCAGTTCAAAACTGCTTTTTTCTAAAGATTTTGGACAAAACATGGGGCTTAGTTCCTAATCTTATGGCATTAGCCTACCATTAATTTTTACTCAAGTAAGTTCTAGGACAAATGCTATCCTAGTGGACTTACATATGACCCAACAAATGTCCTTTTACCCTATCGTCATCTTCCACGTGTAATTGTATGTAACAAGCGTGGGTGTCAAACGTGGGCCCTACATAAATCACGCCCTCTAATTAATTCTTAATTCGCTCTTCTAATCAATAATTAATTATAATCAATGTCTACTGCGCGTGCACGCTTGGTACATAATAATTAAGGGTCAACCCTATTCTCTTATCTAAATACACGATTCCATCGTATTATAATTGTTATTTAATTATTTATACGCACAAAATAAGAATAAAATGATTTTATTTTTTTGGGTCAATTTGCGTATGATGAAATAATTGTTTATTTAAATAATGACATACGATTAAGTTTGGAGTTTGGGATTGAATAAAATCCATCTTGATAGTTTGAAAATTAAAAAATAAAAGTATTTATAGAATAAAATCCAATATGGGTTTGACCAGATCAAAATCTATCTCGACTTATGAGTAAAATTAATGTGTTTTCACAGTGAAATAATGACTTGTTTAGTAACATAGATCGGATCATGCTAAAAAAAATGAAGCTAAATTCTTGTTTATTGTAATTCAGTTTCAAAAAAATTTCTTTCGAGCGCTTATCTAAGTGATTATCTGTGGTATCTTGCCTATTGACGAATTGGTTAAACGTTGAACTCACAACCACTATACAATTGATATGTGTATTATTAATTATTCATGTTTGAGTAGTGGATTTCAGTTATTTATTATACGTGCCAATTAATCAATTATATGGTCATTGAGTACTAAGTTTCAATACTCCGAATTTATTAGAAAATTTTCTTAGCCTATGACGTGACATTACATGATAAGATGAATTGAGATCTTATATTCATACGTGTAATTGGTCTCATTAATTTATAGCACATCACCTGACTCGTAGATCGATGATTGAAGCTAAATAACATTATTTTATAGTGTATCAGTCTAAATGATCATTATTTTTATAGCAATGAGATTATTTTCCCATTGATCAATTGATTAATATTTACAAATATAGTAAAGTTTATTGGATAATATGACAATGAACCCACTACCACAAACACTAATGAGCGTCTAGAGTTTTAAATGAATAACATTACTCCTTTATTAATTATGTTCATGTTCATCGAACGAAACGTGTCGATTCAGTGTTGAGCCCTGAATTGGGATTAGATGAAATAAATATAAAATTAAGGAAGCCCCAGTAATGACAAAAAGACAGTTGGGAAAGTAGTTATAAACAGCTATAAAGGGAGGTTACATTTACCGTATTCAATCCTCTCTCACATACAAACACACACTCTCTCTCTCTCTCTAGAATTTCTTGATCTTTGATTCAATCTCATATACAAATAATGGGTGAATTAGATAAGGTGTTGCTTAACAATGGCAATGGGTTCTCTAAAGTGCATTGTGAACCTACAAATCAGAAGGAAAGTAATGATGAACAGAAAGAGGATTCTTGGTTTGAAGAAGAACTTGATGCTGATCTCAAATGGTCTTTTGCTTTGAACAGGTATTAATTGGCTTGATCATCATCATCTGCTGTGTATCTAATCACTCTTTATGCATGTGCATGTACTGTATCACTCCACAATCAAATAAAATTCTTCAGTTGTCTTTCTTGAATATTGGTAAGAACACAAGATAAATAATACTATAGTGTTGGCCTTACTTAAAAGCCGCTATGCTTTTTCAGCTTTTCTGGGCACCACAGAAAACATGTACAGCCCAAATAAGCACCTAAAAATAACTGTAATTCGTCCCTCATGGGGTGACCGAGTTGGTGGAGTAGGTGAGCGCAGAGGCTTTTGGTCACAAATTCGATTCTCTCTACCAACACTTTCTTGGTCGAGCATGTCGCACTGGGCTTGCCTAGTGCTGTTTACCTGGCTGGCGTGATTTGGAGACTATTGCGTCAGCCCGAGGGTTTACCCAGTACACACCCGAAGGGTAGCGACTGCGGATTCCCTGTCATAAAAATAAATAAATAAATAAAAATAATTGTAATTCATCTCCTCTCTCTTTCTCAGAGTTCTGCACAGAGGAACCAGTGAGTACCAGGACATAGCCCTTCTGGACACAAAACGATTTGGCAAGGTAACTAATGTCAAAACTTGATTCGATATTTGTAAGAAAGATGTTGTTTATTTGTTATAAAAAATGGTATATTAATACGGTTTTTGGATGAGTTAATGTTGTCATTAATTGCGTGCGTTCATGCAGGTGTTGGTGATTGATGGGAAGATGCAAAGTGCAGAAGTTGACGAATTTATTTATCATGAATCTTTGATTCATCCTGCTCTCTTATGTCACTCTAAGTAAGTAGTTTGTCACTATTCCTTAATTCCCATTGGTTTGATCATGTAGAATTTGACCGATATTAAAAACGGTAAAACAAGGATTGAATCCAACTTTTCGATAATTTTTTATGATCCGATCCTATCTTGATCATTCCCAATTACCCTTTTCGACAAAAGAAAAACTCATTCTTTGAGTCAACTTTTAAGGGTTTCTTCTCACAAACACTGTTATCAAATAATAATTGACATATTTTATGATAGGTTTAAGAGCATAGTCTAATTTGATAGTCCATGTGTTTTCGTGAATATGCAGCCCCAAAACTGTGTTTATAATGGGAGGGGGAGAGGGCTCTGCAGCAAGAGAAGCACTAAGACACAAATCCATTGACAAAGTGGTTATGTGTGATATTGATCAGGTATATATTTATACATATGAGTTTAATCTGCTTATTTGGAATTTTTAATTTTTTTTCTTTTCTGAGTTGGAATTTATAGGTGGGGACAGGGTAGAGTTAGAAGATATTTAAGAGTATCTTTGATGCACCGTATTCGACAGGTTTGGGTAGACTTAATTTTTCATATTACTTGGTGCAGGAAGTAGTTGATTTTTGCAGAAAGCATCTTACAGCAAATCAAGAGGCTTTCCGTAATATCAAACTTAATTTAGTGATCAATGACGCCAAGTAAGGATTTTTTGAGTTTAAATATTCTACTATAATAATCGCATGTTTGATCATGTGGATTAGACCGTATTCTAATTGAGTGTTAATTGTTGGTGAAGAGCCGAATTGGAAGATAGGGATGAAAAGTTTGATATAATAGTGGGAGATTTAGCAGATCCAGTTGAAGGAGGGCCATGCTATCAACTATACACAAAGTCTTTCTATGAAAATATTCTAAAGCCTAAACTCACTGACAATGGCGTCTTTGTTACTCAGGTAGATAATTCTTTAGTTTTTTGGACTTTCTATCGCTTGTTTTTTGCGATAAAGACATGTTTGGTATGCTCGACTAGACAGTATATACAAGAATTTCACAAAGAAACAATGCAAAAAGTCTGACAAATGTGTTTTGTGTAGGCTGGACCAGCAGGGGTGTTTACTCATAAGGAGGTCTTCTCATCAATATACAACACAATTAAACAAGTTTTCAAATGTAATTAGTTCTCTAATATTTCATCTTAAGACAAGAAATAGAAAACTCCCATTATGTAACATTATATTCTTAATGCTGATTATAAATTTATATGTATAATGCAGATGTTCTTGCATACACAGCTCATGTGCCATCATTTGCTGATATATGGGGATGGGTTATTGTAAGTAAATATATAAATCTAAATGCATTTAGAATTTAAATGAAACAAATGAAGGAATTAACAAGTTTTCGGCTACTTCAGGCTTCTGATCAGCCACTCTGCATTGAAGCTGCAAAGTTGGATAAGAAAATTTCAGAAAGAATTGATGGAGAATTGCTGTACTTGAATGGAGCATCATTTGTCTCCTCCACCATTCTAAACAAGACCATTACCAAAACGTATGACATCAAATTATTCCTTGTGATGGAACTCATTTAAGTTTACTCGTTTAATTAATCTCTTGTAATGAACTCAAAGTTGTTGATTTCAACTCATCAACACATTGGTAGTTCATTGTAAGTCATGTTCAATATTACGTACCAAACATGACCTTACTATAATTCCACACTCTTTAGCTTTGTTGTAACTCCAAACACATTTTTTGCTTTGTCAGGTTAAAGAATGAGACCCATATCTACACAGAGGACAATGCAAGGTTCATCCATGGCCAAGGTGTTGCATACAGGATTTAAGGTTGTCTTGGTGGGGTAGGGGTGGGGTTGGGAGTTTTAGGGTCTTATTTCTATACTATAGGCAAGAAGCAGAACAAAACCTTAGCACTTGTAAGAAGCTATTGGCTTTTAGACAGTATATATGCTACTAGGCTTCTTCTGGTTGTAGGATTCTAGCTAGCTCTATTTTACCATTTCATGTAATGCTGAAAAATTATAAGGCATTCCTCTATCAAGCTTTCTATTTTATATTTTGGATCCCTCTTCTCTTTGTTTAATTTTTTAAGATTAAGATTTTGGAACTATATTTTGTCTAAAAACAGAATCGCGCAATCGATTAACATTGAAAAACGTAAAAAGGAGGTTATGTTCTCGCGCTTCTAGCTTCATACCTCTAATTTAACATTCCGATTTGGTGATTTACATCTTATCAATTATAGTCATTATATCGTCGATTTCTCATAGTGTTGAAAGATCACAGAGAATCCCTCCATTTAAGCCTTCAACAGGCACAACAGAAAACACAAAAGAAAAAAAAATTGAAATTTACACGTAAAAATGTGTAAACTGGAAATAAAAATTCAGAATTATCGCACGATGTTTAACTTCACTTCACTGGACCTAAACCTGTGTTTGGCTCTTGTTTATAAACTATTTATAACACTTGTAAACTATTTTTAATTCACATACCACTCAAGTTTGATACATCAATATGTTGGATTTTATGCATAATAATAAAAAGATGAAAGAGAAAAATCAACTAAACAATATAAGTATTTACATAGTTCTGCGATGTGCCTACTGCCTATGCCTACGAGGAGCGAAATGAAAATAATTTTTATTCAGTATGAATAATAGAATTATATCATCAATATTTATACTAACCTTAGTCTAAGCCCATACAAGACTTTAAGGTCCGTACAAGAAAATATCCCTGTAGCGCATTGTGAAAGCGTTGCCCCCACACCCCAACCCATTCAGCATCCTTGACAAACAGACAATGAATTAAAACTCACAAGGCCGATACAGCCGCTCTGCTCCGCTCCGCTCCGACATTAGCCTATTTGATTCAGAGAACTTGTATTCCACTCTATATGAACCACGTACACAACACAAATGCCCCAGGCACAACATCAGACACAAACATAGTAAATAAGAAGTAACGGCATCTCTAGTTAGCAAGTCAAATAGTATCAATTTGTTTACATACCATACCATTCTCAAAATTATTCTGTCTTGAGATAGTATACATTGTATCTAAGATCAATGCACTACCTATGTGACATGAATTGGAAAAGGTCTCACATACCACCCATTCTGTCAAAGCTTTCCGGTTAATCTGTCCAGTCTCAGCTGTGTCAATCATTGGGAATACAAAGTCCACCTCTTCTTTAATCATGAATCTCCTTAGGTCCAATTCGTCAATGTAGCTGCCGAACAAAATAGCTTATTATATAATTGTGGAAGGTGAAGTGTGAGGATATAATAGATATTGAAGACTTGTTTGGTAGGACTGGATAGTAGAATGGACAAGATTTTTCAGCTTCTTGTTCTTTCTTAGTATTGTCCAATACCGTGCATTCCATCTTACCCAACATCCAAGGATAGTTTGATACATAAAAGATTTTGCTCACTTGCAACCAGGCTGAGCTACATTCCTGAAAATGTGATATGCAGCAGCAATTGCTTCCTCCTTATTGGTAATCTCTTTATCTGCCTGTTCGTTACCCCTGTCATACACAGTTTCATCAATTGCACTTGAAAGAGTGGTGAGACCCGAATTAGATATTGCATCAACTAACATCTTCATGGTCCAAGCAGAGACTTTTTCTTGCTTCATTTGATGGAGTTTATTGATATCAATCACCTCTTTCTTATTCTTTTCCTTGCCTTCCTTCCCCTTCTTTGTCACTCGAAAACTGAATTGACTTGCATTACTGTTCGATTTCCCCAACATCTGAGCTGACTCCATGACTGGTAGGCCAGACAGGGTGAATAGAATGTACTGGTGGAAGATTGATACTTGAATCCTATCAAAGAAAGAGTTGACATGGAATGAAGCTGCCAAAATCTTTAGCAGTAAAGTCTTTAAGAGCCACAAGAATGCACCAATGAGTAGCGAAGCAATAGTCCAGGTAATGTAATGCAAAATCTTGGTAGTCACACTGGTTCGCCCAACCCCTTCTTGAAATAGCAAAACCCAAGCGCCAAGAACCAAACTCAGCCAGATACAGACCTGAACGCTCTTCTTCAGGCCATAAACGAAATACAAGACCTTCCTCTTGAGTAAAAAGTTGAGTTCAATCAATAAAACAAAAAAACGAATTAACCATGCAGTAACCATCAGGCCACTAAAGGTAACCAAAACAAGAACACACCACTTCCAAATTCTCAAACCCCAAAGCCTCCAACCTTGAAACTCATCAATAGTTACGCTAGCAATTAAACAGCCAACAATGCAGAGAAACAGCAACCATTCAATCAAAACCTTAGCTTTCAATTTCCTATGCTTCAACTTCTTTCTACTGTTCACTCTGCGATATATCTCCTCGTCCTCATCCACTCCTCTGAAACCACCAGGAGATGACATCAAGGGCGTCTTAGGTGTTATCGACAAAGGCCTAATATTGTCCTTAATACTAGTACTATTAGCATCAATTTTAGTAATAGGCGAACCCCGACTTGATATTATGTGTTCTTGCGTTGATGATCCATTTTCTTCAAACATTTTAGTATCTAGGGGCAAAGATTGTTCACCAAATCTTGATTTGGGCTTCGAGTAAACTGACCTTGAAAGCGATTTTCGTCTAGTAAGTGTCTCTGTTGGAATTTTCGGAGGTCTGTTTCCACTGGGACTGAGCCCCACATCTGGAGAAGAGCAACTGATTGGCCCCGCATTATGAGCAATGTAAGGCGAATCATTCGAGATTCTACGAGGTGAATCTGCTGAAAGTTTAGATTTATGATCCTTTGAAGCATCTAAATTTGGTAATTTTGAATCCTTTTCAATGTTCTAATGGATGTTAATGATGACATCACTGTGTGCTTTCTTGTTCTCCGTCATGCTTATTTCTCCACTAGTTTTAGCGGCTTAACCATTTGTATTCATTCAAAACCTACCAAAATCAAACAGAAAGCAAAACTATATATGCTTCTAGTCACTCATCAGAAAGTACTCTGAAAGATTGTGACCAAATTTAACTTTTTCCAGAAAAAAAAAAAGGAAAAAAATTCAGTAATAATCTTGAAAGAGAAATATTAGAAGAAAAAGGTAAAATATAGAAAAAAGAAAACCCGTGAATTTGGTCCATTCTATTTGTACATTTTTTTTCACATCAATTTTCACAATACACACATATGCAAGTGGATGGGGTCCACAATTAAAATAATCGTGGACCCCACATTTGAGAAGAGTGTGAAAATTGATATGAAAAAAATGATATACAAATAGGATAATTGTATAAATTTATTTATTGTCGAGAACTGAACTTGCTAAAAAACTGCTGACAACACGTGTGTATTTTGTACCCAACCCTGTAAATTAAAATATTGTAAAAATAACCCATCCACTTCATTCTTGTAGGTGTGTTCTGTACACAATTTTTCTGTACGTATAGCTTGGCTCTTTTATATGATAAATGGCTTACTGTCTATTTGGCCCCCATTTTTTTCCAACCTCTTGTCAACAATTGAGGGCCTCGTGTCAGAAAATGAGATTGTCACCCTGACAAAAGCTGAGGTCGAAATCGTTTCAGGCTTCTGTTTGAAATTAGGAATTTGTATATTTTCATTTTTGTCCTTTAATCAGAATTTTATTCTTTTTATTTCTTGCCCTTCACTTGGAATTTTATTCTTTCATTGATGGCAAATTAGTCTTCAAATCTCAATGGATGATATTGTCTCTATCCATTTTTGATACTGTTTTGTGTGTGCACGACAGTCACCTGTCAAATACTGTAGAAAAATGAGTTTTGCCAGGAAAAAATTGGCAAAAATGGTGGCCAAACACACGCTTATTCTACGATTGCTTTAGCAGCCAAATTGGAACATAAGGGCCAGCGAGGGATTTTTTTTTATTTTTTGTTTTTTTTTTCACCAATTTTAATTGGTTTTTGGTGAGACTGTTCTTGAGAATTTTTAAGAATCGGTGTTCGCTAATTTTTTTGGGTACAGATTTATGATGGTTTAAAAATCATCCAAAATAATTATATTATAATTCAAAAATTAATTATAAGTAAAATATAAGATAATAATTAATTTTGTCTAAATATTTGTTTATAAAAGTAAAAATACTACCAATAAGACAAAAAAAAATCACTTATAAAACATAAAAGATACTTTTTTTTTTACTTAAAATTTTAAAATATTTAACTTTATTTAACTCTTTAAATTAAATATGAACTTATATGTAAAAAATTACCTATAAGTAAAATATCACTTATAAATAAAAAAATTCATACAAGAAACGATAAATTGAAAATTTCTCTATAAGTTTACTTATAAGTATTTTTATATTAGTAATAATATTCGTAATAAATGATTACAGTAATTAGTCCACCTGACATCCTTGGTGATGTACATCTAATTACTCAGTTTTAATAATTTAAAAAAAAAAAAGGAGATGTAAAAATGGATTTCTATCTTTCCAGGTTGGAAAAGAAGAGAAATTTAAATTTACATTTTTAATTATATTTTTTTTAATTTATATATATATTTTTTCATTTGTATTGTCGTTAAAGACACACCGCTTGCATACTTCGAAGATGTAAGCAAGTAAATCATTAGCTAGAGTGGAATAATATGATTGAATTTCCGAAAAATAAGAGAAAATTATTTCTTTATGGAATACTTACCATTTATGTGTTTGATTGCAAGTATGGTACTTTCATGAAAATAAAATAAGTTATATGTAATTCAATTGTCCAGAATTTATTTGCATGAAAATTGTCAACTAAATATGTTTAATTGATTTAATTTTCAATATAAAAAAAATAGTTTCCGTATTTTTTACGAGAACATGGTCACATGACTAAATTTTGGAAAACATCTGTCAAGGAAAAAATGTCAATCAAACACCCAAAAGTAGGAACTTAAATGAAAAAAAAGACATTTTTCCTTTTTTTTATGAGAAATAAATATAATCAAACACCATTTGAATTTTCATCAATTCAACTTTCAAGTTGGTAGACACTTGAATCCTCGAAAGTAGTATATAAAATATGTTAAAAACTTAAATCTCACATGCCATTGTTTAATTAAACAAAAGCTTAAAAATTTATAAAAGGAAAAACATGCGTAGTTTTTTCCCTCCGAACCTCCCACACAACCAACACCCTAAACAATTTAGATGAGTAAATGTAAAGAGTATTTTTACTTACAAGTTTCTATATGTATTATAAAAGAAAAATATTAGAAAATTTTAAAGAAGAAAGAAACATATACAACGTAGAGTTTACTGCAGCTTATCAAATTTAGCCCCTATTTGGAAGATTTTTTTTGGACAATAAAATTCATTTTTCTACCGTTAGTAGAAAAAGCAACCCTTTTTTTCCAGTGTACTCTTATGTGGGGCCTAGGTGACCAAAAAAGGGTCCAAAAATTATTTTTCTTCTTCCAAAAAATGTCTTCCAAATAGGGACTTAGAAAAATTGGTTGATTTTTAAATGTTAATATATCAAACAAACTTGTCTACTAATAGGTGACCACCATCTACCTTATTATCATTAAACAAAATATATTGTTTTAATATTCAAACATAACTTTAAATTAGGCTTAACAAAGAAATTACCACCAAAGAATATGCATCCCCATGTCCTTTTCAATGAGCCAAATAAACGTTATAAAGTCAAGGGTTTGTTTAACAAACTCATATTTCCAAGTTTTTTCAACATAGCTCTAAATTAAATTCTACTTAATCCTTGTTTGGTCCTTATTATTTTAAAATACATTTTTTTCCTATTTTTAACCATATATTATTCAATAAAAAAGATTACAAGCAAACTCAAAACTTTTTCTTATTTTTTTAATCATACATTCTTCATCAAAATACTATTTCACAATACATTTTGGACGAAAAATGAGACTCATTCTCTCTTAATTTATATTCATACCTTCAAAAACTCGAGTATCGTCTTAAACAGGGCTCATTAATGCGATTCGTAGACCCACCAAAAATGAAAAAGACGAACAACCCATATATATCCCTCTACTATTAAAAGAGGGAATGTGCAAGTTACTATTCATTTGTGAAGCATTTTGTATTCCCATTTTACCCTTGTTCATCCTACACCATTCCTATTTTACCCTCCAAAGCTAACACTATTTTACGATCTCCAACTCGAGGGTTCAATGGTCTTGATACAAAATATGGCATTGTTGATTGCTTTCACACTTGAATCCGACGTCTATCACTTATTTACTGAATATTTACTGTTTATCTGACACTTGGTAGCCTCCTTAGTTGACTAGAAAAATCACAAATTTTATCATTTCTTCAGTATTGCTTTCACACTTGAATCCAACGTCTATCACTTATTTTATTGAATATTTACTATTTATCTGACACTTGGTAGCCTCCTTTGTTGACTAGAAAAATCACAAATTTTATCCTTTCTTCAATCTTCCCCTTTCATTTGCCTTCAGCCTATCATCATTCTCTCTCCTTTGGAAAATAATCGGAGCTCCATTTCATTATCTCTCATCTTTTATTTACATCTAATTCCACAAAGGGGTGCTATTAGTTAATATTTATTTCCTATCGATTTCTGAAAATCAAATCCCACTGGGGAGGAGGAAGGAGCGTTGAATCGAATTCCATACACACCATCTCTTTTAACAAAAAACTTGAATCCGCCATGGCGTTGGCGTGTTACCCTTCATGGAAGCAGTAATCGATATGTTTTTCTTTATCCATTACATGTATTTATTAAGCGTGTAAAAATATTTTTCCCTTTTTTGAAACTTAACTCGTTATTGGTTCCTAGAATTGTTGTTATTTATATTCATGGTTTAATTTTTATTTATTGTCCTGAATATTTATTAATGATTTTATTACCTTAAACAAATTGTATATGGATTAAATGTTCTATGACCGTGCGTTATTCCAATTATTTTGTTACTCAGTCTTTTATATTTTTCTTTTTTCTTTTAAATTCTATCCAGCTTCAATTTTTCATCAAAACAGGATGTGCATTTCTTAGGCTATGCATTAATTTCATGAATTTATTAACCACAAGATTACCCTTTTTCTCTTGTAGATATTAAATGTTATAACTTTATTGGTTTGTTTATAATGTTATACATTTTTCTTAGTTTCTGTAATTTCTGTAATTGGGAAATTTTTTTTGAACTTCATATACAACTTTTTATTTTATATGTACCGACCAATTATTAGATTTTTTAAATTCTTTTTTACATTAGCAATGAGCAATTTTTAGAGGAAGGGAAGCTTTTAAAGGTATATCTAGATAGATCATACGGAAAAAATGTCCTGCAACAGTTGATGCTTTTAGTTTTTCACATTTTGGGACTATGTCCTACAATAAGGACAGGGGAATCCTAGAAGTTGCCTCTAGGCTTTATCCTTTAGGACAAGATAGTGCTACTTGTAGAGAGTCTATATTTATTAACTTGTAGAAAGTCCTTGGTGTTTTTTTTTTTTAAACATTTTATATAAAAGCTAATTTTTTTAAAGAGGAATACACATCTTTATTTAAATCTATGGTTTTCTTAAAACTGAGTTAGTAGTTTAACCTTAACCCAATTGGACTATGTGGTTAAATCTGAAAGCCCAAAACTAGCTAACCAAGAGGGACGGTGAATTGGTTATAGTAACTTTTTCAAAATAGTTTTAAATATACAATTAATTCTCACTTACAAGTAGAAATTAGTCAAATATGAAAAGGGACAGAGACTAAGATAAATTCACGAGTAATAAATAAAAACAAGAATAAGTAAAAGGAAAGAGAAGTCAAACGATATGATATGGAGGTTCGATCCAATGCAATGATCTACGTCCCTCGTTACCAAACTCTCCGTCAAGAGAAAGGTCTTTTTTACTATATTGATTGACTTATGGTGCAATCCAACTTTCTTACAACGCTTTCGATGACTTATAAGCAAGAAGCACCGTTCCTTTACAATGTTGAAATTTTCGGGACTTCAATCCGACCCACAAGTTTGAAAAATGAGGAATATACAAGTGAAGACTTCTCTTGCAATGAATGATATAATTGAAGTTGAATACAACAAGAGAAGATGGCTAACACCTTAGTAGATAGCAATGATTAAAGCTCAAGATTTAGATAAGAAAACACTTTAATAAAAATGATTTCCAAAAGTTAAACTAATCAAAGGTTTTTATAATATAAATAAGTTGAAGAAATATATATATATATATAAAGATGATTGAGTAGATAGATTAGTAATATCTCACTTTAAATGCTTATAAAAGTCTTGCATTGAATGCAAAATGATCTGATATTTATAGCAGCAAAACGGTCAAAAGTTTTGTTCTGCCGGACGTCCGCTAGCTTACCGGAAAGTCAAATAACCGTTTTTTGTTCAGAAGTCAGAACGTTCAATTTCTTGACCGTTGGACAAACCTGTCATACCGGACATCCGCTATAATTACCGGATGCGTCCTCTAGCTACCGGATGCATCCTTTATATCAACATGTGTTTGGAAATTTTCATTCTTTAAATATTTTAACAAGATGTAATTTCATGAAGGATGTTTCTAACATATTTTACGGACTTTTGACATTTCTTAAAGTACATAATAGGTTCATGCTTTAAAAGAGTTCTTTACGTAAAAATCGTGTTTGTCGTGCGAAGAAACGTTTCTTGAGTTTCAAATGACGTATATGTCAAATACTAAAGTGTTTTGCCTTAACATTTGAAATCAAGGTGTATAAATCAATTTTCTTCTAATTTCTTTTTTGTTTGACTTGATGAAGTGTTCGTTGTCTTGATGTGTAGCTCGATTTCTACTTTGTCCAATTTTACGAGAGCTCCGAAAGCATTCTTTTGTCCACACTTGTCATAAACTTCTATAATCACTCAAACACAATTGTTAAATAACATTTGTTTGTTATAATCAAAATGAGAAGTCAACCATAGGTCAACAATTTTTCCCTTTTTGATTTGACAAACAGGAGATGATGGAGATTTAATAAGTAAAAAAATTGATAAGTAACGATATAATTCCCCCTATCTTTTACGCATGTATTCCCCCTTACTTAAGCATTCCTATCATGCATATCTTCTCATATAATAAATCATGCATATTATTCATGTATATCATCTCATAATTTTCCCCCTTTTGGCATAATCAAAAAATTGACAAACAAGAGAAGAAACATAAGTTCATAATATCATAATCAAAATACCAAAAGATAGAGTCATAATGAGTTCGGAAGTACAAAAACAGAGAAGAAACATAAGTTCATAAAAAGGATGCATAAGATAAATGATAAAAACTAAAAGCTAAGGCTCCGGAGGAGGTGGTGGAGGAAAATGTGCGTAAAAGTGAGCATAGAACGCATTCTACTGAGCTTGCATTTCAGCCTACTGTGCAAGAATGGCATCCTGCCGAGCCTGGATTGCGGCCTGCTATGACTGGACATTCTAAAGAACACCACTAAGCCTATCAACCGAAGTTGTGAGAGAGTCAAGATGCCCGGTGAATAAATTATACTGATCCTCGGTAAAAGTGAATCGTCGGGAAGAAAATGAAGAGGTACTAATCAACTGTGGATACAGGAGTAATGGGACATCTTCTTCGGCTTCTTCTTCGTCCTCAAACGGTAATGTGGAAGGACCCAAGGCGGGGTCAAACCCTTTAGTGTAAGCCACCCATCGTCCTTGAATTTTAAAGATTTTCATAAGCTTGAGGGTTTGAATATTGATTATATCGGTGGGATGAGATTTGATAACGGCTTCACTCTCAAGAGATACATTGAAGTGTTTGAAATTTTTTGTTAAAAACATACTATAGGGTAAAGCTTTGGAATAACGAGAAGCGTGGATAAGTTTCATAAGACCTAAAGCAATGATTGGAAAATCTAACCTTCGGCCAACGAGAAATGAATCGAGAATGAACAAATCAAAGTAATTAACCTCATCTCGATGCTCTTTTCTAGATAAGATAATATTTGCGATGATATTTTGCAATACTTCGCAAGGAAGAGCGAGTTGATTAGCACTAATTTTTGTGATGTTTTCAAAATCTTTCCCCATCACACAACGACATGCGTCACTTGGGTTATAACCTTCTGAGGCCGGGTGAACTTTATGAACAAAAATTTGCGTATCACATGGTTCAAGCCTAAGAATTTCCCGAGTAAGAGCTTTAGTAACCGTGATCCTTACATTTTTAATTAGACGGGAGATACTATCGGAACGTGGTGTAATAGCCATTTTTGTGTAAAAGGTTTTCATGAGTTGAGGGTAAGTATTTTCTTCCAACGAACATACCGAAATCTACCCCATTTTTTCAAAGATTCTTGAATGTGAAAAGCAGATACTTCAATAGAAAATCTGAGAAATCAACATTTCTACCTAGTAGAATGAGAGATTTTTCAAATGGGTTCACCGCTTCTTCGGGTTCGAAATTCGTTTCTTCGTCGGAGGAGGGCATTGGAGGTCGATGTTCCGTAGCTTTTGCCCTTTTTCAGCTTTCTTTGTTCTTGACATTGTTTGAATTGAAGCAAATATATAAAAACGAGAGTTAAGGCACGAGATTGGGGAAAGAAGAGAAATTTTGCCCTTTTTCAAATTTTTGATCTGGAAACAAGAGTAAAGGAAGTGTGTTTCGTAAGAATTGAAGAATTAGAAGAGTGGAATGAGGAATTTGGAGTGGAGAGTAGTGAAGAGTGTGAAGCAGACGAAGAAGGAGAGAAAAAAGTGGGAAAAAAATGATCCTGTTTGCAATTTTAAAATATTAGATTCAGTCTATCGGACATCCGGTATAATGTGCCAGATCGTCCGGTATAGCAAAATTTTTTTTTTTTATTGAACCGGATGATTTAGAGGAGGGTCCATTATAGTTGTCTAGTATGTATCGGACTCATCCGAAAACCCTTTTTTTTAAATAAAAGAGCAAAATAGTCACAACATCAATTTTTTATTTCAATTTCATCAACAATTACTAAACCTCTACGAATGTGTGTGAAACGGTCGAGAGCAAGAGGTTTAGTGAAGCTATCGGCCAATTGATTTTCTGTATTGACAAATTCTAAAGCAATGTCACCTTTTTTAGCATGATCTATAAGAAAATGATGTCTAATCTCAATGTGTTTTGTTCGTGAGTGCAATATAGGATTTTTATACAAATTTATGGCACTAGTGTTATCACACATAATAGGTACAAGATCAAAAGACAAATGATAATCCTTAAGTGTTTGTTTCATCCATAATACTTCTGCACAACAACTAGCGGCAGAAATATATTTGACTTCGGCTGTGGATAAAGCAACATAATTTTGTTTCTTACTAAACCATGAGACTAGTGCGAAGCCTAAGAAGTGACATGTTCCGCTAGTACTCTTGCGATCAATAGTGCAACCAGCCCAATCGACATCCGGATAGCTAAGTAAGTCAATGTGAGTTCCTTTTGGATACCAAAGACCTAATGTTTTAGTTCGACTAAGATATCTAAAAATTCTTTTAATGGCTTTAAGGCGCGATTCTTTGGAATTAGATTGAAATCTAGCACATAGACAAACACTAAACATAATATTGGGTCTACTAGCGGTTAAATAAAGAAGAGATCTGATCATACCTGGATATTTAGTCACATCAATAGGAGTGCCTTAGTCATCTTTGTCAAGCTTAATTGTTGAACTCATGGGTGTG